TATGGGAACATAATCAAAATAACCAAATCAAATAAATCATGGTTTAACTCAAAGACCCCAACTCGATGTTACACTATCAGAGCAAGACCTTCTATGTTAACCAAAAGGCCAACAACTTAAAACTACAAAAATATCCTCGACGACGTCCGCAGCTAAACCTGGTCATCTGCACGTTACCCACGTGGAGGCAACATTCAAACAGGCAGGGTGAGTAAAATGATTCATAATAATCAATGTAAGAAATAAACATATAAAATGGCGTCATTTTCATATTCAACATCGTCATATTCATCAAGGAACATCAAAGGCCACAACATCATAATTTACTCAAGATCATCTCATAAATGCAAATGCAACAAGACTCAAAGCATGTGGTACCAATCATCACAACTCGATGGACACTGGGCCATTAACCCTCCATAGATCCCCATCAATAGGATCGATTCTACTAGAGAACCGGAGCACATCAAAATACTTCACATCCACGCAATGGGATTGAAGCCAAAGTAATTGAGGTCCTGAATCGAAGTTTGGATGCACATGAATGCATGATGCACACATTAATAATCATCCTCATAATAACATCATAGTTGCATCATCATTCACCATAATCATCATCATCAAACGTCATAGCTCATCATCATAATCATCATCAAACATCATATTATCATATCTCATCATAATTATCATCACCATACGTCATGTCATCATAGCTCATCATAATAATCATCATCATACATCATGTCATCATAGCTCATCATAATAATAATCATCATACATCATGTCATCATAGAATCATCAAAACTCATGGAATCAACATCACAAATCATCATAGTTCCTCATGGGAATTCATCATGCAATCATGTATTAATTACATATATATCACAGTTATACTCATGGTAATTCATCTAGAAAATCACAGCATCAAAACATCACTAAACCAGAACATAATTGACTTCCCAAACATATTAGATATAAAAATATTGGGAAAACAGTTCTCTTATCTATATCATGTTATAGCCCTATTCATTAGCTTTCCAACGCTTCAAACAGGGTCCAAAATGGACTTATAGATCAAAAGCTACGTCCAAAATGATTTCGACCGAAAACATGGACAGTCGTGACGGACAACATGCAATTTTCTGCGTTTTTCACCGTTGGAGGCCTTCCGGACCTCCGATTTCGATTTCGTAAAAACCCAAACTCTCAGAAAATTACAACCCATTCAACACTGTAATTATCTCAAGTAAATTTACAATTTTAACACAATTAAACTATCTAATCATTGTTTTAAGATTATGCGTAAAACCTTTAAAATTAAGGGATATAAGTTCAATCTCGTATCATATTTACGCCCTAAATCACAAATTTCCCTACAATTGCCCCAAAGGCATCAGAGTTACTCACTGTCTAATATTCCTATCCCTTCAGGGTCAAACAGGTTCAAATCATAGTTTTGGCCACGAAGGCCTAAGGTTTCCTTTTTCCCCAATGAACCATGGTTAGACTCACTAATAATAGATTTAGGCCACGAAGGACAAAGATCACTATTTCTCATATCTACCCTCAAACTCCCAGGAATACTTACCACTACACCACAATCATCAGAGTTCTCTCTATCAAATTTCTCTACATGGTTAGACCAATGTCAAATCAGAGTTTTGGCCACGAAGGCCTAGTTTCCTTTTTATTCCAATGAATTCCCATGGTTAACATCTCAATACTAGATTTAGGCCACGAAGGCCAAAATCTTTTTTTCTCACCATCAACCCCAAAATCCCTTAAACCCTTAAATCGACCTTAAATACGTTGAATTTACACATTGAAAATCATGAAGGCAATACTCCTCATACCTTAATTGCCGATCAAAGCCTTCTCAAATATTTCTGGGAATCCTCCGAAGCTTTTGCGTCCAATCTTCCTTCTCAGAGCTCTGACTTCAATTCTCCTCACAGTCTAACAAATGAATCCTAATTCCATTACAATTTCTTTTTTGTTAAACTTGGACTTGGGTCTCACAATTGGGCTTTTCCCATATAATCCTCACTAACTCCTCTTAATTGTCCAATTTGCCCTTATTTCACTTATATTTATTTTAATTAATAATATTATTAATATATTCATATTATATATTATTATTCAAAATAAATAACCCAAATTCCATTAATTCCCAATATTCCATAAAACCACCGAAAATCACCAAAACGCGAATATTCTCATTTAAATAAATTAAATTAAATATTTCCATAATATTTGGGGTGTTACAGACGCAGCTCACGAGATCGCCAACCATCAGTTCGACTACAAATTTTTGTTTTCTATACAACAAGCCGTTTAGACCCCCTCTTTGTGCCACCTCTGCAATCTCCACCTTTAGGTAGTACGCCTTATCCCATAGCTAATTATGTGACTTGTAGAAATTTTTCTGCTTCCCATGTTAGTTTCTTAGTAGCAGTAACCACAAGTTTTGAGCCAACACATTTCTCTGAAGTTGTTAGTTATTCTTATTGGCGTGATGCCATGCACAAGGAAATTGAGGCTCTTGAAACTAATGGTACATGGACTATTGAAGATATTCCACCGGGAAAGAAAACTATTGGGTGTAAATGGGTGTACAAAATTAAGTACAACTTCGATGGTAATATTTCACGACACAAAGCGCGTCTTGTTATTCTCGAAAACAATCAAGTTGCTGGTATTGATTTTAATGAGATTTTTTCTCCGGTTGTAAAGATGATATCCTTCGTGTTTTTATTGCGGTGGCTATTATTTGTGGTTGGGAACTCCATCAAATGGATGTTCAAAATGTTTTCCTACATTGAGACCTTGATGAAGAAGTTTATATGAGCCTTCCTCCGGGGTTTTCAGGTGTTTCTCTTGGAAGGGTATGCAGATTGAGGAAATCTCTGTACGCACAGTCAAGCCCCTCGTAACTTGTTTTCTAAGCTTGCTTCTACCTTAAAGTCATTTGGATTTGTTCAATCCTATGCTGATTACTCATTGTTCTCTCTTGATCGACATGGTATTGTTTTTAATATACTTATGTACATTGACAACCTGATCATTGCAGGTAGTGAATCAACAACAATTGCTCATTTCAGAGCTTATCTTAGCACTTGCTTTCACATGAAAGATTTAGGAGTGTTGAAATATTTTCTCGATCTTGAGATTACTTGAGGACCCGATGATTTGTTTTTGTCTCAACGAAAATATGCATTAGATATCATCTCCGAAGTTGGTTCGCTTGGTGCAAAACTGTGTAATTTTTCCATAGAACAAAATTACCAATTAGGTCTTGATACAAGTCTCAACCTTGATCATCATGATCGTTATAGACGAATTGTTGGTCGATTGATTAACCTCACGATTACTCGTTAAGAACTCTGTTATGATGTTCATACTTTTTATCTCAATTTATGCAAAGTCCTAAACCATCTCTCATAAGAGATGGTCTATGAGATATGTATTTTAGTATTTAATTATATAGCTCCTAGACCATCTCTTATATTTTAATAGCATATCTCATACATGATTTCATCATCGATATTCCCTAAACTTTAGACGTGTAGTTTGAAAAATATGTTGTATACCTGTTGTATATAATCATTTGCCAATGAACCAGAAAATCAAACAATTGCCTCACATTATCCTTTAGTCTCATTAGAAGAATTGTTCCATCATTACAAAACATAATTCCACCACTTCATCTTCTACGTCTACTTCCTAATTGACAATAACCAATAATAGACAATAACAAAGCACATTGAAATTAGAGTCTTACGGTATAGTGTTAGCCGGTGTTAGCTAAATTTTTTAAAATACATAAATTATAAATAAAAATACATATTTATTATAATTATTTATATTCTTTAGTGCTACATATATTTTTATGAGATTAATTGAAAAATAATGGAATGTAAAACCACTTTATACTATTATTAATTAATTATTAAATTTGTTAAAAAATATGGTTGGATCTATCTCAACCCTTTATCCGATGTGAGACTTTTAACAAAATTAATTAATTATATATATTATTTTTATTTTTAATTTAAATATTTATACATCAAAAAGATTAATTTTAATTGAATAATAATATAAAATAATTTTATATTACCCATATATTCCGATTAATATATATTTTTATTTAGATAACACGTGAAATAAAAACTTATTTCTTTATGGTGTGTTTCTTTGGGTGGATGAGACAGCCTCACTTTTCTTCTTGACCCATACTTTTTCAAAATTTCTATCATGGCTTTTGACATACTTCACTGATATTGAATCACAGCCAAATTTCCACATTGAATCTCCGATTGACTATAATAAACCGTCACTAACCCTTTCTCCAAGTTCACATCTACCACCGCCACAATAAATATAAATTACCATTAGAATCAGGATATCTTCCAATGGAGACTCGTTTCTGTAGTTGGGTTCGTGTGCAGAGGACGACGCCGTTTAGTGGGCAATGGATGTTTCTGCTATGGTACCTCAACTGGGTACCAACACCAACGTCGAATTGCATTTCGCGGAGCTCCGAACTCTCATGGATGGTGACCATCGATTTCAAAGCAATGGAATACTTGGTTATTGCTGCTCATAAACTTTGTTATCTTACCAATATGCAATGTTCGGATAAACCAATAAACTAATTATATAATTAAAAACTTAATTAAACATTACTGCTTACTCAATTACTTATTAGTCCATCCAGCTACTAGGGTTTTGACGTTATTAACCCAACAAAAAACCTTAAACCCTCAAACTGCTCACTATATATATTCTTCATTCTATTCAATCAAACGCCACTCAAACCTCAAAAAAAACAAACCTTGATCACTGTTTTGCGTTGATCGTTTCATTATTCATCAGCATTGCATGTCACTATTTCTTTCTTCATACAATTTTTGAATTCTCTCTCAACGTTGATCTCATTCATCAACGATAATCAAATCAAAAACACTCTAAATTTCTCTCAATTGATTTTGTCAGTAGCCATGAGTTATTGGGACAACATTCCAACGTTTAAGATGTCACCAACGCAATTCTCATCATCCAGCCGCAGCGATATCATTGAGGTCAGGCCTCAATTTCCAATGAGCAATCAACGCTTTGAACCACATTTAGCATCGGATCGTTCCCATTCCTTCAAAAGGCCAAGAATGTCTGACAACAACCCTTCCAATGCACTGATGGGCCCTCCACCAAACAGACCGACCGGCAACATTTTCTTCAAGACCCGCATATGTACCAAGTTCGGGTTTGGTAGCTGTAGAAACGGTGAAGCTTGTACCTTTGCTCATGGGGCTGAAGAGATAAGGCAGCCACCGCCAAACTGGCAGGAGCTTGTGGGTTCTCGCACTGAAGAACGGCTGCAATTGGGCGGGAATTGGAATGATGATCAGAAAATCATTCACAAGATGAAGCTTTGCAAGAAGTATTACAATGGTGAGGAGTGTCCTTATGGTGATAAGTGTAACTTTCTTCATCAGAATCCTGCTAAGTTCAGGGATGACTCTTGGGGAACAAGAGAGTCCACGGCAATAAGCATTGGAGCTACTGGTTTCCCAAACTCTTTTGGGGATGGTTCTAATAGTTTGGTGGAAGGCAATAGGGCTGCGACTAAGCCAGCAAAGGGTACTTGCTGGAAGACTAAGCTGTGTCTTAAGTGGTTGAATACCGGTAGCTGTCCCTTTGGTGATGGCTGTCACTTTGCTCATGGAGATGCAGGTAATAGCATTGATTTTGGTTTTTATCATATACTTTAGTGTTTTGTTTTGCTTAATCATGTAAAATCTTTTTTTTTTTTTTTGTATTTTATTTTTGTGATGATGAGGAGAAAGACATTTTTTTGCGATATGATGTACAAAATACAGTGTTTGAATGTGTGTTGCTTTTATGTTTGTTCTGGCATAAACTTGCTTCTCTCATTTGTTGTCCCTTTGCCTTATCTCCACAAAAAGTGTCTTCCTTAGATAGTTGATCATATTAAATGGAACCTGATTACACATTTGCTTCTAGCAAAAGCTGGTTCTAGACGATCATTTGGTGTTTTGAGTATACAACAGATGCTGCTTCAGTTTAAAAGTAATAGACACTTGTCTGTGATTAATGATTTTTTTTTTTGCTGTGTTGTCAAATTTCAGTCATTGCGGCGCCATGGCGTGAGGGATTTTGTGGCGCCGCCATAGGACGCAAAACCAATGTTTATATGGCTAATTTTTGGCTGGTGGCTGCAATCTGCCATCTGCTATTGACAGCGCTGCTTTATCTATAAGGCTCATATATTAGTGTAGTTAAATGGCATGGCAAGTATTGTCTATTAATGATTGATAAAATTTTGCTATGCATTAGTGCTATAGCACCGTTATAGCAGCTATTTGACAATATTTTATAGCATATTGTATCGCAAAACAATAGATGTATGTCCAACTTCCGCTACGCTATAGCGGCTATCTAGCAACAAAGGGCGTGACAGATTTTTTGACGGCTACCTTAGGCAATTTGTAAAGGATGTCCGCTTATCCTACTAATCTCACTTTCTTAAGATTTATTTTATGATTCATTTTTTAAAGGTGAATATGTAATGTAGTAAATTAGGAGAGACATCTCCCGGTATATTTTTGTTATATGTTATATGCTTTATTTGTTGATTCTATCTTTTCTACAATCTATTCATCTTTATACAAAATTTATACTAACGTACCGATATTTTATTTTATTTTAATGAAAACCTCATATTGCCTCGTGGCTAGAGTACCTGTATCCATGCAACATATGTGCTTGGTAATTCCCACACCAAAGTGACTGGACGGTAGGATCATGGGACTATGAACTACTCGACTGCTTTTATCTAATATCATAAAAGATTGAGACATGGCCTTTGCATGCGATTCTGATCTGAATAACCGACAGTTAGATTATATTCATCTTTTCCGTTTGCTTCTCCTTTTTGGTTTCGGCTGATAGTTGCCTATAAATTTGATGTTCGACCCGTTAGCAATTTGGAGGAGGCAGTACATTGCTCATTTGCAAGTTTTAAAAAGCAGCTATGTTGCAATCCTAAATATTGGAGTTAAATATGGTCAATGTAGCTGCAATTGCGATGGCGGATACATCAAAAACCTTAACATCTTGCCACAATCGTGGTCATAGACATTTTTTAAAATATCTTGTTTGTTTTCGTGTCATAACTTGTATATGCATACTGTGGACAAAAATTAAAAGATGATTATAACAATTGAAACTGTTCTATTTCCATGTATCTTCTTCTGACTCATGAAGTATTGGTTGTTTTACTATTCAGAGTTACTAGTTCCTGGTGGAGGCATTGAAACTGAAGCTGCAGTTGCCATAACAAATTCAACAAAAGCTGTCATTCCAACTTTACCAACAACAGCCTTATCAAGTTCTGCCCATGATGCATTACCAGCAAGTGTACCTTCGGTGACGGAAGAGGAGAAGAAGGCAAAGAAGGAATTACTTTGGAAGAAATTAAACAAGATCAACCATATTTATGGCGATTGGATTGATGATTTACCCCTAGACCGTCCTGATTCGCCAAGGGAGCCCTGAGTTGAATTTTGTGCTTTTGGAAACAGCCCACATCTGGATAAGGATTCTTCTCCGCTGACAAATCATTTTGGAAACATGGTCATTGGCGATGGTAATCAGTACATTACATTTTTATAGTCATAGACGCGTTGCATTTGTCAGTTTGAGGGGTGTTTCGATGAATTCAGAAACTTTTTTGTGGGATTCTAGGTTGGGTGAACATGGGTCAAATTTCTGAACCGAAGTCCATATTTTAAATAGTTTATTACATTCGAATATGAAAATGTGATTAGCATATCTGTGTTGTTTATATATCCTATGTGGTTAAGTGAACTATGTTTAACTAACAGCAACTCTATCACCAATTTAGAGCGCAACTCTGATTCACAATATGGAGAATGGAGTTTTGTTCATACTAGCTAAACAAATTATTCAGTGAAAGCAAGTGATGATGTGCATGTTAAGATGTTTTTGTAGTGTGCTTGTCATAATTCTCTTCTTACAAGAAGAAACCACTCAAAATCAAGGGTGTGAGTTGTGTTGCTCCTTTGTGGATTGTCCTTGGGGAATTTTGAAGGTTTTTCATTCATTTTATGATGAAAGTAATACTTATTCTAACAGTATTTTTGAAGTTGATTTTAAAACAGTGGAGTGCTCATACTTTGGGATGATGGTTAGTGATTGTCTCTTATATTCTTTCCTCTTTTCTCAACTCTAGTATAGGTTGTGTTAGACAAGTAAATAAAGAGTGAAATGTTATTTATAACATCTTTATTATTTATCATATCTTTCACTTTCTATTAAGTCTTTGACTCTTAATAAACCAATGAATTTCTTTAATATAAAAAATATTTTAAGCATTTTTTTATATGCCTTGCTAGGGCTAGAGGTAGCTAGCATCCTTAGGAGGTCAATACTGTGGCTCTTGCGAAAATTAAATCCTTGGCCTAACCAAATTGCAATGCCTAAATGAATTCTTTTACATGTCTTAGCATTCTCTTATGAAAATAATGAAAATGCTAAAAAGTTCTGTTAAGACATTTGTTGTCTTTCGGTTTTTTAAAAATTGGCACAAGTGAAATTATCGAGATGGGTCACGCAGTAGGTCACTTTCTTTAAAACGTTTTTTCATACTGTTAACAATTATGCAATACAGTTGAGTTTCGACGACGTCTCCAGGATAAATTAAATTACGATTATCACTTGTAATGTAATGAATCGTTTGAAGAAATACACCTTCAGATAATGTTTAAATCACTCGCAGTATCTGAAAATAATCCAGTCATTGATGGTGCAATAAGCCACTCATGAAATAGGACATGAATTTTTTTTCATATGAAGAGAATGAGAGGGAGAAAAGAGATTCCAAATGGTCTCCAGGATAAATTAAATTACGATTATCACTTGTAATGTAATGAATCGTTTGAAGAAATACACCTACAGATAATGTTTAAATCACTTGCAGTATTTGAAAACACTTGCAGTATTTGAAAATAATCCAGTCATTGATGGTGCAATAAGCCACTCAAGAAATAGGACATGAATTTTTTTTCATATGAAGAGAATGAGAGGGAGAAAAGAGATTCCAAATGGTTCAGGAATCTGGAGTGAGTTGCAAATGAATTAAGGAACTCTATTTATAGGCAAGAGATTTAACTGAGTGGAGCAAAAATCGTGGAAAGGAGTTGAAAGTTTCAGATCCATTACCGACTATTTTTGCTTGTTCAGAAAGTCAGACTCTGACTTATTCTTGGAGGGAAAGCCAAACTCAGTCAAAACTATGTTTTAATGAGTGACACGTCATTAATGTTAATTAATTAATATTAATTAATTTTCAAAAAATCAATTAATTAATAATTAATTTCTACTGAAAAATTAATTATTTCGTAATTAATTAAATTTCACCAATTCGGGTTCTAAATAATTAATTCATCTAGACCGAACCGAACCTAACCGAGTCGGCCGGTCGGCCTGACGGACAACGACGTCGTGCATGTATGTCTAGATGGCTTGGTGGTGTCTCCTCACTCCTTTACAAAATTGGGTATCCCTTGGGGTCCAACCCATTTCGCCAAGTTGGAATATATATACACTACTAATATTTGTGTTTCCTCCTATGTGAGACTAAAATGAATCCTTTTAAATTCACTTTCATATTAGTTCTTACTTCTGCTCATTTATTGTCCATTTAATGTCAATAAATTATTTCAATTTCCAATCTATGTTTTCATCATTATAAGATTTTCAACAATCCTCCACTTGAATTTAAAAGGTGATTTTAGAAGTAACGTCAAAAGTTTCTAAGATTGTGCATAAGCAAAGTTGTCTACGACTTGAACCTTTGTGTAGCAAGTAAGATTCTGATTCAACAAGAGTGACACTATTGTCTTGAACTCTATCTCCTACATCAGACCCGCACATAACCTTTTCTTAAGGTTTATTCTAATAGTCTGTGTTTTAATGGCCCTGCGTGAGTATCCCGCTTTAGTGAAGGCTCTAGGAATTATGCCTCGCAATTTCATAGGAACTGGCCAAAGTTCAACAATCACATAGGTGATTCTATCAGGAGTACTCCTGAGCAAAGGGACTCACTCATACAGAGTATAAATCTTATTAAGAGCTTCTATTATTTTATCCTCTTATTACTTCAAGATTCATGCTTCACTTGCATGATCATCTCATATTGCTCACAACTTGTTATTATCCATTGAACCTACTTCTTCGGATCTCCAGTCATCTAGGTCGGGTTACCATCATGAGCAACTCATTTCTTTATAGGCATTAGTTCCATCTTCTTGGATGTATTATGTACTTTCTCTCTAGCTAATTCTCTATCAAAGGATTTGTTTAGGTTTCATCAGTGCATACATGATTCACTCTTACAACTCCTTTAGAGATACAGTCTTGGAAGGTGTTGTTCTTTCTTCTTATTTGACGTCTTTTACCATTATAATAATGGTTATCAACTTTTGAAATAGTCGCAGTACTATCGCAATTGATTAACACAATTGGCTTAGGTTTTTCCCATAAAGGGATCTCTGCTAGCAAACATCTTAACCAACTTTCTCCTTCACTAGTTGTGGCTAGTGTTATCATTTCAGACTCCATTATGGACTGAGCCAGGATAGTCTTTTTCTTTGATTTCCAATATATAACTCCTCCAGATATACTAAATATATAACCACTAGTAACTTTGGAATCATCCGATAAGGTGGTCCAATTTGCATCATTGTACTCTTCTAGTACAACATAAAATTTTGATAATGTAGGCCGAGATCCATGGTCCTTTTAAGATACCTCATGATTCGCTCAATATCTTACCAGTGCTCGTTACTTGGTATAATCATAAACCTACACAACAATCCTACGACATATGTAATTTTGGGTCTAGTACAATCAGTGACATACCTAAGACTGCCAATGATGCTCGCATATTCTATTTGTCTGACAATTTCACCGGTGTTCTTAAACGTTTCACACTTGGATCATACGGTGTGCACGCAAGCTTACAATCAAAGTATTTATATTTCTTTAAGATCTTCTCCACATAGTGTGATTGATCCAAAGAATTCCTTGTTCGGATATTGTGATCTTGATACCAAGGATCACACTTTCTTCTTTGAGGTCTTTCATATCAAAGTTGTTGCAAAACAATGATTTCACATCATTAATGGTCTGAATGTTTGATCCAAATATGAGTAGATCGTCTACATAAAGACATATGATACTGCATACACTTTTTCAGATTTGCAATAAACGCATTTGTCACTTTCATTCACTTTGTACCCATTCGATATCATTAAGTTATCAAACTTTTCATGCCATGTCTTAGGAGCTTGTTTTAGTCCATACATAGACTTATCTAACTTACAGACCTTGTTTTCTTGTCCATGAATCACAAACCCTTCCAGTTTTTCCATATAAATTTCTTCTTCTAAGTCACCATTTGAAAAAGCTATTTTAACATCCAGTTGGTGTACTATTAAGTTATAAACAACAACTATTGAAATAAGTACCCTAATGGATGTAATTTTGGTGACTGGAGAAAAGGTGTTGAAGAAATCTATATATTCTCTTTGTCTAAAACCCTTGGCTATAAGGTGAGCCTTGTATTTGTTAATAGTTCCATCAGGTTTTAATTTCTTTTTCAAAACTCATTTACAACCTATTTGTTTGCAATCAGAAGGAAAGTCTACCAAGTGCCAGGTCTTGTTAGATTCTAGAGATTATATCTCATCATTAATAGTTCCTTGCCATAAATCTGCATTAATAAATGACAAGGCTTCTTAAAGATTTATTGGATCTTCTACTGCATTATAAGCCGCATAATCGGGCCCATAGTCTTTAGCAACTCTTACTCTTTTACTTCTTCGAAGTTGTGTTTCTACATTGTCGTTGCTTTCTGTGTTTCTTATCACAAGAATGTGACTCGATTAAGTGCCCCCACTATTTCTCGATTTGAAAGAAAATTTGTCTTCATAGAATTCATCATCATTTGATTATATGATCACTTTTTCATTTAGGTCATAAAACTTATATGCCTTATTTTTTGTTGCATACCCAATGAATTCACATTCGTAGGCTCTACTAGAGAGTTTAACTCGTTTCAGATCCAGAATTATGACATAATCCAGACAACCCCAAGTTCTAAAATAAGACATGTTTGGTTGTCTTTTCTTTAATATCTCATAAGGAGAGATATTAATTTTTTACTTGGGAACTCTCTTCATGACATATCAAACAGTCAGTAATATTTCCTCCCACCAGTGAGGTGTAGCACCAAAATTCATCATAATTGCAACAACAAGTTCAATAAGATTTCTATTATTTCTTTCTGCTTTACCATTTATTTCAGGAGAATATGGAGCAGTCGTTTCATGTACATGACTCTTCCTAATTTCAAGAATATGTATGATGTCCTTCAAGATTAAAGTCTTTCCTGAGGCGAAGTTCAGCTCAACGTCTCCAATTCCAGCAACATTAGTAGTGTGAGCATCTCCCAAGAGCACTTTCCTATCTTC